TTAATTTATATTTATTGGTGCTTGAAGCTGATTTTCGAAAATGCCACCGCCGGCCGCAACACAAGCTGTCGCTCGGTTGTGAACCGCGCCGGACATACCAACCCACACCGCCTTAGGTAGGTCTCAAGTGTCGAGATAACGAGAACGCTCTGTCTGTAGCTGGCTAATAATAGCGACCCGCCAGCTGACAGACGCGGTTCACACGAGGGCGTGTACGGGAATGAAAAAACGGTCATAACTCCGTAACCGTCCAAAATCAGACACATGTTTATATGAACTTTTTTGATCACAAAGACCTAGGAAATCACTTTCTGCAGTTATGCCCTAAGTCGTGAAACACCCTGCATACTGCACATGGCATTTTGTGTGTGTGTGTATATATATATATATATATAAGTCAGTCCACAACAGATTCTGCCTTATTTTCATTAGCTCACGCTAGACCGGAAATTTAGGCACGTCAAAGCTCATAAGGTTCGCCGCCGCAAAATTTAATCCTCGTGTTCTGTCGGGCTTCGCCTTATCCAATATTCCGAACATTTGCATTTTCACGGTCTTCTGTGGTTTTTGGTTGTTGACCGCTCTAGGCCTTGGGATATTGGTGTTGTTGGGGAGAACCTTGATTTCTAAGCGCTGTAGTTTCGAAACGTGGGTATTTGCCGCAAATTCAGCATACGGCATTGCAGGCAAATAATGCTCTGTGGACGGTACATTTCATCTTAGAGCTTAATCGCTCACTTTTCAATGAAGGACATGATCTAATAAACGTTGTGAAGGCATTGGACTCGATGATTTCTGTATCCAATTCTCTTACCGAAAAATATATAGATGTTGTACATGACTCACGAAGGGCGTTCTTCGTCCGTTCCAAATGTGATGATACCCAACCGATCTAACTCTCTTGACATAAAAATTCAGTTCTTTTGTTCCAGCGCTCACACTGTGTCTCAATCACATCCAGACCTCACTGCAGCGTTCTGAGAACATACCCTTCTTTGCTCTCAGTCGCATATACATAGGTGCCAGCAGGAAACACACCTAGATATACAAGAGCATTTTTGGAGGGGGGGGAGGTTCATTTATACATACGCTGTACAACGCGAGGTACTCCTTTTCTCTTGGCGTAAACGTTTCGCCTTCAAGCGAAACTCTGAATTTTCTCTCGGCAAAAATGTGCAAACCGGCTTGATTATACTAAAGGAAATTTTAATTTGAACTTATACACACTGTTGTATGGTCCCTAGCCGCAGAGAAATCTCCACTGCGTCTTATAGCCGCCCACCTGTACATTTCTCCAATCTTCATTCTACCAACTGCTCTACAATCACCATCATCCAGAATTGGTACAATAAGCTACAAGTAACCAAAGTACCAAATGGTCTGTCTCACTCCAATAAAAGCAATAATTAAAATATCGTGTCCACATGAAACCCACTTGGCTCCATCTCCCAACGTCAATCTAAATCTTCTGTTTGTATCCCCAACAGATTCTTGTGTTTATTCTACCAAAATACCCTTTGTATTTCTCTCCCAAAACTGACATGCCTTTGGTTCTTTATTGTTGTCCTCAATACACCTAACCAAACAGATCCGGAATTTCAGCCCCTAGAAATATTTTGATAATCCATAACACACACTAACCCTTGGCTTAATTCCATTTTCAGAACCTATTTGAGGTGTTGCTTATAAGCCTTCCTTTCTCAGCCTACAAGACAGATATGTAACACTTCCCCAATCCCACATCCCTAAATTCAAAATTAATATTTCATGGCAAAGCACATCCACGTACACCATCATTTGCATTTATTTTGCAATTTCCCCTCTCAAAATTTATTTGGGAATGCCATTTATGATTCAATGTTTACAGATCACAAGACAAGCCCATAATCAGTCAGTCTATCCTCTTCAAAATTTCAACACTTCACACATTAATTTCTTTTATATGGCATGTAAATATATATATCTCATTAGTCATCTTTTTGCCTTCTTACCTCGGCCAGTTCCCACTGCAACATGACGATTAAGTTCATGGATTACCACTACAGAACATATTCCAAGATAAATGGGGTGGGGAAGCCCTAATCTCACCATCTCATTTTCAAGTATCTTTGGACTTTCATACTTCTCATGAAATGTACTGAACAGAGGAAAAACACTTCACAAATGTTGTGTGTTCATACAAAATGGCCCAATCTGAATATCCAAATAATTTCTATTGCAAACCCACTACATTAAAATAGACGCTCTGCTAATCACAACCAAAATAGAAAATTCTATACCGATATCTGTGGCCTCAGACAAAGTCTTCTCGAAGTATAACCTCAGTATATTCACTAGACTCATTGCCTGACATTGCCATGATGCTACAGCTGACAGCCCATTACAAATTTAAATGCTGCAAACCCAAATTGCACACAAATATGATGATGGTGAAACAGTAAAAAAGCCTGGAGGGAAAGTAAACAGAACCAAACTGAAAATTATTATGAGGACAGGGTTCAACTTAAGAGGGATCTGAAAACAAACCAAATCCTATAGAATGCTATATTACACATTAATCACAAAAACAGAAGAAAAAAATTTCATGCACAGATAATCAACAGAAGTCCAGAAACTATTACAAAATACATTGTGAAAACTGGGATGAGGGAAGGTTCAACATGGGCTTTAAGCCTTTATTTCAATCCAAATGGTACATAATAGTACATGCATCCTTACAGCAAACACTGATCTCCAAATAAAAATTACATGGTTTTTCACTTACCTTTCATATCAGTGTCATTAAAACTTGGGCACCAAGATATGCATAGGCATATCTGGACAGAAACATTTAACAAACAGCAGCATACATCCATGAGATACTAGACTGAATTGCTGTTAGCACATTTCATTAAATGCATAAAAACAAATAATTCAATGTCTTGCCACACTGGTTCAGAAAGACTGCATGGAGCAGAAGACAACAAAACCACTGATTCACGTGTTCAACTTCCAATGCACCTGCAACCCATCTAAATTCCTACAAACAAAACCTCCTTGGACAAACTCCCACGTCAGTGTGCAATCGATTAACAATGCTTCACAGAAATGTCTGCATCCATTCTGATGAACCTGGACAACATTAGGTGATCAGGTGTTCTCATCATGTATTTGGTCATGATCAGCTTCATTTAACATGGATAATGTGGAATGAAGGAAGCAGTCCCAGCACTTGTGTCAATGGTTATGCTTTGCTGATGTACACTGGTAGCTAGGTTCTCAGACAGACTTACATTAAATCTAATTTCTCTGACGATGTCAGGATGTAAACCGGTCTCAAGGGCCAGTACCATCCATGTACCATTTTCAGACATAATGCAGTACTGCATACAATTAACTACAATATACCACAGCAATGACTACAACTACTGAACTACAGTACTCACTACAACATTATACCACAACACTGGTGAGAACTATACATTCCACACAACTAGCTACAACTACATGCCCACCAGTCCAGCCCTGTTACATCCCAGCAACTTAAACAGGAATACAGGATTTAGTCTAGGCTAATCATGGACCCTGGCTACCAGCATACATCAATGAAGAAGCACCTTAAACACGCAGCCACTAGTAATGTTTGCTACCATTCGAGTCTTCCCACGTTAGAAAATAACAACTGTTGCCCTGGATATAAGTCAATGCCTGACTCCAGCCACTGGTCTCTCCACTAGACCCTTTGCAAGAAGGACACAGATTCCAAGGGCAACTGTATGTATACACTGGCTACATTGCTGCATCACTCACACAATTAATCCCTGATGGTGGATGATGAGACTGCCATTAAAATGGAAATTCGTTCATTATTCATACAGCTAATCACCCAATCAAAACAGTTTCACAGACTGTCTACAAAATATTTAAAAAATGATATGGGTACAGCAGACCGCCTCTGCGGTCTAGTGGTCAGAGTTCTTGGCTACAAATCCAGAGGTCCGGGTTTGATTCCCAGCACTATCAGATTTTCTGAGAAGCAGTGGGTTTGGAACGGGGTCCACTCAGCCTCATCAGGATAACTGAGGAGCTATTTCAAGGAAATAGTGACTCCGATCTAGAAAACCGAGATTACCGGGTGTGGGGAGCCATCGCGCTGATCACCTCTATCCGCAAAAGTTGGCACTAACTTCGCCGACAAGTGGTGGTCGCTTGGTTGGTATAGTTTGCTTGCCAACTGCAGGTTATGGAGTTTATGGGTACAGTAAATCCTGAAAGCAGGTAAAAGCACTCTGTTCTTTAAGAGGGATGTATGTTGCTGCATATAATTTCAAATAATTCACTAACTATTCTAATGCTGAAGGTGTTGAAACTCAATGTAGGTTTGTCACTTCTGGTGCAGGCTGACAAATACTTAGGCAGATAATGCATCTTTGTCATCTTCAGTGTGAGCATCAGACTGGACACTGTGTCCATACTGTATACTGCAGCAGGCAAACTCTCAGATACTAAATTCTTACACTTTTATGAGGTTGGGCATGACATCACATGAACAATTATTTCCTTTTACACATCTTTCTGTTTTCTGATAATGTGTGTTGGTCTACATCACCACTGCAACGGAACACAAATGAGTTAACACCTTGTCTGACAAACTTCTGATACAGTATATGCAACTCGCAGGAAGACTGAGAAGCTGAACTTCCAGGCAACGGAGCATGCCAGTCTTCTCACATTTCCGTTGCCGCGTGGGTTCGTAGTGTCAGCTGGTCCACAACACACGTCAATGATTCCTCAATTTGCGCTGCTCCATTCTGTTACATATGTTCAACTCAAGCTGATAACAATTCTCAGAAATTGCGGTTGCCAGTTTCCACGGTGTGCTCTTGTCTTAAATCATCTCTGGATATCTCCTCGTGGGTGCTTTCATTAGCTGTTTCTGTGATATTGTCTATTCACGTTAAAGTACGCAATATCGCTTTGCTTTTTAGAACTTCAAATGGAAAGCAGACTTATGCCTCTAAGTGAAGGGCTCGCGCCATTTTAATATTGTTGTGTGGGGATAGAGGTTCGAGTTGTTGATGTTTATATGGTTTAAAGAAAAATGTCGACTATAACGTTAAACATAGACACATTTATATCACGCATTAAGAAGTTGTATTCTGCCTGGAAGGTGCGTATGTTCCAATTATTGTTAATGGAATAGTTCTGTGTAAATTGTTTACATAGTAGTTCCACCACTTAGGGAGTTTACAGTTTGTATTTTGTGCTGTATTTATTGCAGTCTGCTGAAGCAAAAGAAGATAATGCATACGGTTTTACAAAAATGGATGCTTTGGTGTCTGCAGTGGGGGTTGACGAGGATATTGTTTACAGTAAATCCATAGCTCTTCAGGTAAGTTGTCGGCAGGTCCTAAATTATTCCTGAGGCAAAATATGACGTTATGTGACTTTTGTTTTCATTGTGGTTAGGGTACTGATTAAAATTTTTAATTCATCATTACTGGCTTGTGGAGTCGGTATAATTACCGATTATGGAGGCGCAACATATGCAGTATCTTTTTTCGTGCCCCACTGATTTCCCCTTCCACAGTGCAGTTGTCAGAAGATCGTGTCCAGGCACTGCCATTCCTTGAAGAACTGTAATGTCTTTCCCTGTCGTTTTCCCACACTTTGTACCCATGTAAGCTGCCCCAGTGTTGGAAATGGTTGCTGTACATGTTTTTAAAAATTTGTCATCTGGTACTGACAGAATAGTTCACCTTTCCTTATGTCAGTAATCGGATTATGCTACCTGCCCCTGTGTTGAGAGGCAGCTCATCTCTTGGAAGGCGATGGTGGCAAAGCTACTAAATGTTTCTGCTTCATGTCAGTAGAATTTAACTTTTGAAGCATCCCTGAGCTTCATTACTTGTTCATTATTTCATTTCTATGGCAACTAAGAGCTTTGCAATGTATTAGTTCTGATTTTCTGGTTTTCAACAGATTTGACCTTCATGTTCCCCTGAAATAGTGGTACTCCCTTGCCAGAGGGCAATGTGATGTAGCACAGAAGACCACAGTATGAATTTTCAGTCCTATGAATAACCCCAAATCGGACATTTGTGAACAGAGTCTGATCTAATTAGACTGGTCCAGTATTTTATCAGGCTGTTAACCCATACTAGTGAATGAGAATGCTATTTTTTTTTAAATAATGTTTAGCCTAAGTAGACCCAGAGGAATAATTAAACTGGAAGAAGGAATCAGATGTTCTCCATTTGTTTTTTTGGCAAGGCCATTGTGTTTAATTTGTAATTTTGTTTCAGTCATGGTTGTTGGGGTATGAGCTCACTGATACAATCATGGTAGTTGCTGAGGAAGAAATACATTTCCTGGCTAGCAAGAAGAAGATTGATTTTTTGCGGCAAATACAGAATAGCAACAAGGATGAAAATGGTCTGCCAGCCAAGTTAGAACTGCATACTCGAGATCGGGTGAGCACATCCATCTGCCTAAAATAATATTAGATTGTAAACAGGGATTTTGTCATCATTTGGTATATGCAGAACACTTGTGCAAACAATAGAAACATTTTTATTTTACACTAAATTCTTCTTTATTATGTGTATGACCTTACCATTTTTCCTCTGCCCAAGAATGCATCCTTGAGATGGGTTATTGGAGGAGCAGTAATTACTGCTCCTAATAATAGGATGATGGTTTGAGCTAATTATATCAGTGGACAAAGGAGCAATGTTACATTAACACGTCTCAGTTCTTTCTTCCAGTCTCACTTCTGCCAACTACAAATGAAGTTGCAAAGAATGAAGATAAAGGGACACTTTTGACATGGGAAAATATAAAATTTCTGTGTTATTTCTTCATGTAAACTATTAGGACAGATTTCAGAGAATGTTGAAAGTGAAGATATAACACTCATGACAAGATTATAATGTGGGAGTAAATTTGTAAACATTGATTTTAGAAGGTTTAGCTCAGCATAGTGACTGGCACAGTTGCTACTAAGTATGAAGCTACTGTAAACGTGTACATTATGTTTGGGCCCCTGAAATTCTGCTTTCTTTATTTCACAACTTCACATCTTGAGTATTGACATTTTGCCTGGGAGGAAGGGGGGAACTCCCAGTTGTGTCAAGTGCTCAGACAACCACAGAGTCCCTTGTTCACCCACATTGTTGCTTGGGCTAGATCCAGAACCCTCTCATTCAGGACCCACTTAATGTCCTTTGGCACTATCAGTGCAGAGGGAGGTGGTTGATCTGTGATCATCCAGGTCAGCCATTGATAGGGTATCCCAGCTGAAGGACACTGTCATTTGCTAGCAGGAGGAGATGGGCCTCACCACTGTATCCAGCTGGACCCACATCCAAGCTACCTTGAGAGGGGCATTTCTTTTCCTGGCCAGCTCCTTCTGCTGATCAGACCATTTATTCTTGATGGATGGGCTTCTCACCCAAAGCGTCATTAGAGTGTTGCTTCTTCTCAGTGGCCGAAGAGTCAATCCCTGAGCTTTCCAGTGTAGAACAGTACCTTCTATGAGTTTAGTGACAGTGGGATGTCTTTTGTGCATATATTTGTATTTTTCTGCTGTATATTGCACAAAGTAGGGTCAGTTTATTTTTATTTTATTTTCAATCACATTATATTTGTGTTCTGTATGGCAGGTATAAGGTAAGTTAAAGCTTCCCTGCCTAATTAATTAAATGTCACTCACTTAAAACACAGAGCAGTGGAAGGATAGATCCATGTATTCTAAACTTTGACGCTAGATGCAGGTGAGTGGTCAGCTTCATGCCTTAGCTGCTTTACCACAAAGAAAATAGACTCCAGATGTGTGTTGGCACAAGGGCCAGGCTGAACACTGAAGAAAGTGAAATATCTTGCCCCTGCCGAGAATCAAATCCCGACTTCTTAGCTGTCCATCCTGTAACCTGTTGATGTGCCAACTGAGCTAGCCTGGCAAGAACAGAGCATATTGTCACGTGTTGGAGTGACTGTACATGTGGTTCAGATTGGTAATTGGATTTATTGACCACCTACAAGTTATAACTACAATTAATTATTACACTATTACTGATTTACACAATTTACAATCACTCCACACTAATCTCTTCAGTCTGTGTCCACTAGTCTTCACAGATTTATAACACAGAAACTATAACAGTCTCACCAAATCACACACTACCAATATCACTGTACTATAGCACACACATAAAGTCTTCAAAGCACAGGCTGACTTCCTGTACTCTTCTGTACTCCTTGTCCTGCTTGCTTGTTTGTTCAGATGTTTCTGCTGCTATTGCTTCTTGTAACTGCCTCTAATGAATTCTCTCACTCTTATATAGCCATGGAATAGACATGGACTGACAGTAAACACATATCACGTGATTGCTGTCCTGCCAGTCTATTTGCACATCAGTTGGATCTACAGAAAACACAGCTTCCTCTATTGCATGTTGTACTGTGTCTATAGAACTCTTGTCTGGCAACACGTTTGTGAGGAGATGGTGGTATTTGGTTGCATGCTAAAGATGCCAGCAATTTTGTGATGCTGCTGCAACTAACTAAGTCACCAACTACATGCAGTATAGTCCTTGCTGAGAAACTTCCCAGTTTTTTGGAACATGAAGGTTTTTTTTAACAATGTCCCCAAGATCCAATTATTGATCCTTATTGTGAGCCAGGTGAATCTGGTCCACATCTTGCCTTGTTTCTTTCAAATTAATATATATATTATTTTTCCATCTGTGCTGAGGTCTTCCAGGTGGTTTCTTTGGTGCAGGTTTTTTGACAAATTTGTCTGGATTTCTCGTGTCTTCCATGTGTGCTTAGTTATCTGCCATTTAACTTATTTTGTGTTTTGTTCCAGAGTGACGAGGACAAATCAAATTTTCAGAAGCTTATTGATGCTCTGAAACATAGCAAACAAGGCAAGACGTTAGGAGTGTTCTCGAAGGACAATTATCCAGGCCAGTTCATGGATGCATGGAGAGCAGTGCTCAAGAAGGAACATTTCGAAACTGTAAGTTAATGAAACTAAAATATCACCTTCCTCTTGCAAATTTTGAGTCCACACATCTTGTGTTCCTAATATTTTCCTCAGATAATGCACAGCTAACCATAAAATACATATCATAATGAGACTGAAAGCCACATTCTGTACCGCAGTGTGCAAGTTTCCAATTATGCTCTTTCCACCTTGGCATTCTGAATACTTGTATCTGTTCCAGACAGTCTTCTTAAAGACCTTGACATTGTTAAGTACAGCTTTTATTGCTGCCATTACTGTTGTTACAATTGCTTGCTTTTCTTTACCTCACAGTGTCATGCATATGCTGTGTTGTTATGGATTATACAAAATGAAAAGTTACAAGTTTCATGTAGCGTCCTGTGATCTTAAGATTCATTTAAAATTTCATCAGAATCCATTTTTATTTCTCAGGCCGAAGCATGTGGGCTGAGAGCTATGCACATTGTGCAAGGAAGGCATTATGAATGATATCTCTTTTTTCCTTTTTTCGGAGTGCAGTCCCACATTATCTAGACAATCGGCTCAAAGATGGCAGTAAGGTTATCAGCCTTACATGCCGGCTGCGCTTTCCTCCTCAGGAAAATTGTTTATTTAATTCCTGGTACTCATTTCCGTTAGAGGCTGAGTGACCCCCAGGGCCATAGTGCGGCTGGAAGGATTAGGTCAATTGAAAAAATCTCATCAGGATTTGACTTGTAGCATAGTGCCTTAACCACTACGCTACTGCGTGCCCCCCATTGTAACCTGTAGTAATATAAATAACTGTAGAAACCCACTGTAATAATAGAAAGCAATGAAATTCAGTGTCACCCCCACTTTACAGGTGTATGCAGTTCTCATGTTGACAGTAGAGTGTTAATTATAGGGTTGGGATGGCCTCCATTGGCAATACGCTCATACCAAGTTTTGTAAAAATTGGTCCTTTGGTTCATCGTTGGAAAGAAGGAAGGAACACGTTGACTTTCTGTTTGAAGTGAGGTGCATGAGGGGTGGTTTTGATGTGGAGGTGGTGTTTGCTTTCAGGTGGATGTAAGCGCTGATGTAGCATATGTGATGGCACCCAAAGAGGAGCCTGAGTTGCTTATCATGAAGAAGGCTTGCTTTGTATCTGTTGATGTCTTTAATAAGTATCTGAAAGATCAAATTATGGAGATAATTGATTCTGATAAAGTAAGTATACTTGTATTCGATTCATTACATTTCTTTCTGTTGGTAGAATGTACATATTTTTGTATAGGAGACTCCACTTGTGAGCAGTCAGTATTGCATGTCCCAAAAATTCTTTCGATAAACACATTCGTTTATACGTTTACAGTCTTCTGAGCTGTGATGCCATGTAGTGTGATTGGTAGATGCAAGTGTTTCAGAGTAACCTGCCAGTTCATAGCAGAAGCACCTTCTATCTCTAAAGTTTTATGGTTGCTCACCAGTTGCTGTAACCGACTTCTGCCCACTCATTGTATTTATATGTTTCATATGATTCTGAGAATAATCAGCAGTTATTTCTGTAAGCAGGATTAAGCAGTTTGTATTTGTGATGGAGATGCACTGTGTTTTTTGTGGGATACTATCTGAATTCCTAAATATTGCTTAAATGTGATTCTGGCCTTGGAGGGTTAACTCTTTGACTGGCGCGGGCGTGTTTTAACACCCGGACGATGCCAGCCGTTCCCTGGCGTTGGCGTGTTTTAACGCTTTGACAATCTCTTCCCTTCTTTGCTCTCTTGGCACTCATCAACCAAAGACATATACAGGGTGTCCCAGGAGGAATGGACCAAACTTCGGGAGGGTGTTCCTTATGTTAAAGTATGCCGATATAACCCAAAACACCTATGTCCAAAGTTGAACGGTTACGGAGATAATGGCCCAAGAAAGGTGTGGTCTTCTAGCGGGTCCACGGATTATACCTATCAGCTGAGAGGAATTATCTCTGTTTGTCCTTGAGTGCTGTGATTCACCCTAGCCGTGCTTATGTAGTTGGCTTTATCAGAACGCGCAGTCAGCACGTTACGTCAGCGCTTGCCATTCATGTCTCATGTATAGTGCTTGGAAACCCTAAGGACAATTATGACATGGCGAGCGAGTATTTTGTACTTCAATTTTATGGCTTCATGTTATTCACAAGTTAGTTTGATGTTACGTACATTATTAACATTACAGAATCCACATATTCCTGCCAGTTTTAATATGTATTTTGTAATCAACAAGTGTG